AGATGAGGGAGGCGGGTTATTTGAGGGAATCGATGGCATCGGGCCTTGCGATACGACTGGCGACATTCTAGGCATAGAGCCTCCAGCGCTGATTGGACTATGTTGTTGATGTTGACTGAGTGTTGGAGAAGGGCCGGTTGAGTAAGGAAAGTTGGACTGCTGAGGCGTTCCCGATGGGTGATAATTGTAGGTGGGCGTAGGTGGCTGTGGTGGTCGATATGAATCTTGAGAAAGTGAAGGCGATTGTTGGGGTGCTGATGAAGAGACGGGTGTCTGCGATCCCATCATCTGGTGTTGGTGCTTGGTGCTGGTGTTGCCGGTGTTGGTGTTCTTGGTGATGACGCGGCTGGAGTTGGTGACACAAAGTAGCATCTCGAGGGCAAGGATGGTGCGGCGGAAGTTGGCCTAAAAGTCGCTATACAATATGGACAGTTATGCCTGGTGCCGCCCTTAACCTTTGCAAGCGGAAAAGGCTAGACCAGAAAGAGAGAGAGACACACACACACACACACACATACGGCAAGGCGGGGGCGACAATCTGATTGCGCTGACGGTTTCCCTCCATGTACAATACACATCTATCTACATACTTGGATACTTGTATCTTCATACTATGGTACAGTAAATATCTACAATACCTCTACAGTATGCACTGGTACCGCCTGGACTTCCTTGTCACCCTCCTCTAATACCTACCATACCCGAATGATGCACACTACGCTAAACTCGCCAACGGACTGTGGCGGCAAGCCAACCGTTCCGAACCAAAGCCTTGGCCGCCCACTCTAGCGTCCGCTTCCCAGCTTGTTGTCGCCCCCGTGCCTCCTTGCCTGATCATCGTCATCCCTCATCCTCTTCATCCTCTTCATCCACATCATGGCCCCTTCATCTCATCTCTCATCTCATCCTATTCGATTTACTCCATCTCATGGTCACTACCGTCGTTCAGTTACCACCAACCCAATTCCCAAATCAGTCGTCGCTACACGCCATGCACAGCACGCGCGATCGATGGATGCATCAACGCCCATGTTTCAGCTCCTTTTCTTCAGCCTGTCAAGTATACTAACTAGGTATTGCTTGGTCCCTTGGTGGCTACCTTAGTCGGCACATCCCCCCGCCCCCCTTCTTCTTCCTCCCTTTGCATCTCTCCAACCACCCTTCCTTCCATGAGCTAGGTCCATGAAATACACTGCCATCTCGCAAAAAGACGGCGAGAGTTTACATGTAGAGCAACAGAGTAGGTAGAATATGGTACAATGTCTAGACATTGTACCTATTCGACTGTTTGCCGTCCATGATCTACAATTCAAATCTTATTCAAATCTTAGACTAGCACCAGCCCCCATTTCCACTACAGCTAGGTAGCCAACTACCCTCGGCCCTACTACGGTACAGTTACTCAAATCTCATCGCCACTTATCATCGACTCTGGCTTTCCAATCATCCCTCTTCGGCAGTCTGCTTCCTAAAAAAATCAACATCCCACTACATCCTCCTGATCTCATGAAGATTGCGAATCTCCCCCACCACACGCACAAAATTATCTTCTACCTACCACGCACAAGATAGACTAACCCAGTAGAATGCGTAATCATACCGATCCTGCCAAGGTCTAATCGACCAAAACAGGAAGTGTCGAATCGCATCTCAACCCATCTTTCCTGCTTGTGAGGCAGGATACGTTAACAAGAGGTGGGTATTGATTTGCTTCTTCACCAAAGACTTTCTTCTTCTCTGTAATCCATTTCGCCTTGGGTTTCCTTGGACCAGACGATCCCCCACATTGCCAAAGCCTCATTTTATACGGTGCAGCCTCGTTGCAATTGCATGACGCACCACTATATTGATGTCCCACAGCGCACTACTCTTGGCTTCCTACAGCACAACTATTAACATTCCACAGCACTCATATTACTATCCTACAGCGCACTACAAACCAGGCCTTGGCCAATTCACAAATTCCCACTTGTCCATGGTGGCATCATCATGAAGCTTCAAACATGCCACGCGATGCATACCAATCGCATACCAATTGCCACTCACAAGACGCTGTTATCATCTACCACTCTTAAGCTGCTTTGTAGTTTTCACTACTCAGTAAATTCTGTCCACCGTTTGCATGTGACGCTCGCAAAAACCAATTTCAAGACAACAACTCTCACAACTTCACCTTTTCATTCACCTCATCGTCTCTTCGCTTTGCTTTAACAGAAATTGCACACAGGATCGACTGTTGCAGCAGCCTTTGCCAGGTGGAGACAATCACCAAGCGTGTTGTGGGCTCATCGCATAGAATAAGCTTCTCTGGGCAAAGAATGCCCTTCTGTCAAGTTCAACTTCAATAGATTCTCTTCCCATGTCACTATCCAAACCCTTCGTCTATTACATTCTTCTATGCGCAAGGTGAAGGTAGTACCATTCTATTGGCCTAGGACCATCGACTCTCCTTTCCTGAGCAGTGAGCAACCAAGCCCGCTTTACCAGTGACCGCGGGCGTCCATGCCTCACCTCGACGCCAATTTTGATTTTCAGGGTCCCAGGCCAGTTGTGCGTGTAGTCCACTTGTTTGTTTGTTGTTGTTCTTGCTGTTGTCTACCACCGCACTTGCCTTTCTAGGTCATCGACTGTTCTGTCCACCAACATTAAGATCTCACACCCTCGTACACGATTACCACACAGCCTCATCCTATACTCTGTGTCCTCACCATCTTCTCATTGCATGTCAGTTGTATTGTCCGTTCGTGACTGCTAGCTAAACGTACACCAGTCAGTCATCATGGGTCCTGCCACTTATATCGGCCCTGGTGCACTCGGCATGTCCATGTATGCCAGTCCACGGTCCTCGCAGGCAGCTTTAGCTACCATGCCCCCGGCCGTCTCATCCTACGACAGCACCATAGCAACAGAACAGCAGATCGCTGATGCGAGTGATAGCAATGCCAATGGCATCGCCTTGCGCAATGCTGACGCCCAACTTGCCATCGCCCAAGGCCATGCTTTGAAGACCGAAGTTGATAAACACGCCGCAAAGCTCTCTTCCAAAGTTTCTACCGCTGTTGCCAACACACACCAGTTGCTTGCGCTCATCAACGACTCACTGCAAAAAGAGGGTGTCACCGACACAGGCACAGTCAACAAACTTTGGACTGAGCTAGAGCAGTTGATCACCGCTGCTGGGGACGCAAACACTACCATTCCATTGTTCCTGAAGAAGCAACGCAACAACATGAGCTTGTACCATGCGTCGGCGATTAATGAGAGCATGCGCGATACACAGGAAGAGCTCAATATTCAGCACAAGAAGGTCAACCTCCAGCATGCTCTTATCCTCGAACACCAAGAGGCTTTCCATGAGTACAGAGAGCAGAATGCGGCAAAGTTGAAGGAGCTTGACGAGTGTCGGGAACGGGTCTCGCGTCTTACGCTTGAAAAAGGTGCGTAGTGCTACAGTAGGGCTTCACAGTCGCCCAAAGTCCTAACTCGTCCTTTAACAATAGGCAATTTCCGCACTGAGATCGAACGTTACAAGACATTGCTCGACCAGAAGCAGACTGATAAGGATGAAGTCTTGAGCAAGGTTGATGCCCTAGAGAAGGAGCTGAACACACTTGTGACATCAAAGGCAGCCCTTCTCGCAGAGGCCGATGGTCTTCGCAACGCTGTTCAAGATCGCCAGACAAAGCTGCAACAGGTGGAGCAGCAAGTCACGGACAAGTTCAAGGCCGAGCTCATGTTGAAAGCTGGCGAGGTTGCTAAGGAGGCCGAGAAGAACATGGATTTGAAGTCTCTTATCGACCTCCAAAAGGCAAACGCAGAGATCGCCCAGGCGCGTGCCGACAAGTTGATGAAAGAAAACGGCGCACTCAATGAAAAATATCGTCTCCTAGCTGCTGAACATGCACATGCATTTTCGGTATGGGATTATTCTTTCATCGACGTTGATTACGCTAATCAAATGTAGAAGCTCAACGGACAGACGAAGAGGATCGATAGTCTAGTCATGGACCTTGAGCAGCGACAAAAAGAGAATGTAGACCTCAAGCAGCAATTCTCCAAGTTGTCGGAGCTCGAAAAGCAACATGCCAACTTCTCTCAAGCTAAGCCTGCGTTTCCCGAAGAGATGAAAAAGCTGTCCGCCGAGCTCGAGAAGGCGAGAGACGATGGACTTCGTGCAAAGACAGATATTGATCAGCTTATGAAGAAGGTCATCGAGTTTGAGAAGACGACAGGAAGGCTCGAGACGGAGAAGAATGATCGTCTTGCTCAGCAGATCGATGCCGAAAAAGCCGCACAGGCACTGCAGATCCAGAAATTGGAGAATCTGAGACTCAAGGAAGTCATAAGGGAGCTCCAGAACGGCAGTATTACCGGCGATCCTCAGATGTGCGTTCAAGAAAATACGCAGCTCTTGGAAAAGGTCAGGGGACTAGAAGCGAAGAGTGCTGCACTTGAGACGGCCCTGGAGGAATGGACTCATCTTGCTAAGGTATGTGGAATATTTTGGCCTATTACATGATCTTAACGCATTCACAGCGCTCATACAAGGAGTACAAGGAAATGTTACCGTTGTACAAGCTAGCGGACCAGTGTCAGAAGGAGTCGCTCAGCAAGGACGGCACTATAAAGGATCTCAAGGATCAGTTGTCGGCGGCAAAGGCTTCGCAGTACAATGGGGGAGACACTGGCTACTGGAAGGGCAAGTACGAGTCACTCCTAGCCACGATTGGGGGTTGAACGGCATTGTGAATTCTGCTATCTTTCGAATACAGCATTTTCCAATGTCTCATTGGGACCATGAAGTCACAATCTGACCGTAGAGAATGTCTAGAAGTTACAATCACACGTAGAATGTATCAGCGCCAGCAGACTTCGTCATGAAGAAGTGCCGCAGCATAATCAATGAAGATGGCTACAGCAAATTACTGCGCTGGAAAAGGTTCAACATGTTTCAACCTTGTTCATGATGATTAATGCCCAAATCTTTTCAGTTCGTTTAAGGAGTAAAGTTTCTAGCATCAACGGATTCTGGTGTAACCAGGGTCATGCATTTCTTTAACACCCCAGCCTGCCAGGTAGGCACTAAACTTAAAGACCTGGCGTAGGGGAGACGGGGGGGGAAAGACGAGCGGCGAGAAAGACATTACCTACCGTCTCGCATATCGGATATTTCACCTTTCCTTTTTCCATCAACTCATTAAACCAATCCATGACAATTGATGAATGTTCCTGTTGTTCTCACGTTCGAAACTTTACAAGTCTTGCGGGAAGGACTTGTGGTAGAAGATCTCGTTGGGGGCTTTATGTATGGTACGTGATCCAAAGCCTTCATCGCAGGTGCGAATAGTACATGCGCGCATGGGATTGCGAGTATGTCTGCGGGAAAAGGGACGGATGATAGGGGTTTTCAATCTACGAACTGTAACCCGAGCGCATTCGTGACCATCTGTCACGCAAGCTTTCCAGTCTGTCAATTGCGACAACAACGAATCGTACCCAGGCTATCCAAGGATTATCTGAATCCGGAGCAGTTCTCGGGAACGGAGCTGTTGTCTGTACGATACTAGTTTGTCAGCATCATCTCACCAGACACGAAGCACTCATAGCCGGTGACCTGACCATGTTGCTTAACATGTTCCTGCTTGTCAAGACTCCCTTGACTCTGCCAATGCCTCAACAAAAATCCTTTTCTCGTGAGGGCTGGTCCCCTGGTCCGCCCCTTGGTCCGAATGGTCCGCACAAGAAAACTACTCAAAAAACTCAATCTCACTCTGCTTCTGAACCGTTTCGTGTCGTGACTGGCCGGCAAGGGGTCATGAGAATGGGACTGACACAGAGCGAAGACGGTTGTCATTGAGAAAAGCGCTGATCGGTTGTCGATTGCTGTCTCGTAGGGTAGGTATATAGCCCAGGAGTGTGTATCGCACGGACACTGTCGCACCATGCCTTTGCAGCTTTCGACATGGCGTCTTGGACAGTGACTCAGTTACTGTGACTGCACTCGAAGCGAAGTCTTGGGGGGGGGGGGCACTCGTGGAGTTGAGAGTCAAGCAGTACATCACAACCTTTGAAGTTGACAAAGTTTCACCTGTTGCTCGGAACCAACAGTTCCCATAGCTGTTCTCTCGCACTGAGCGGCACCCTTGTCCCATGTGATGATTCCCAGTCAGCCAGGCAGAGACGATCATCTTCGCCCGATCGATACGAGATGCATCGGCCCACTGGTAACTCAGCATTCGATACGGTAGGGTGCCAAATGCAAGCCAGAGGAAAACAAAGACAAAAACGAAAGAATGGCGGCCATGAATTCGGCTTTGAGCGAAATTGAAAAAGCCTTTGCTAGGCAATACCGGGCGGTGGTTTTACGGGGAAGGCAGTGTTGGACAGGCGAGACTCAATGTCAAACAACTAAAATAGATCCAGGCCCATGCCTCCCCAGAGAACCACCGAAGAAGGGTCGAAAACCCACGGAGTGGTAAGTTGCCGTCGCCACGGGTTGCATCATTCGGTTGGTAGGGCGGCATGGCCAGAGATCGATCTGTTCTCAAGGGTCGTCGTGTCAATCGCCCCCAGTTGGGCTGCTTCTGCTCCCTTGGAGGAGGGGGACGTGATGGCGAGCACTGAGCAGTGATAAGCTTAAGGTACGGTGGGTACAGTAGAGCTTGTCTAGTAAGAGACAATATACAAGTACTACTTTGTACTCTGGTGTTGAAGATGACCCCGATCATCCATGGTAGCATCCACATTCGCTGCGTAGCCCAGGTCGCTTAGCCATTGCATGAAGCATATGGGGCAATCTCTTACCCCCAGGTCTTAGCCTTCGTAGATCTTACTTTTTTCACACCTGCTTCACCAAGCTGGGAAGAGAATGTTTCGAAAATCGCGTTTGGTGCCTTTGTCGCCATCCCAACATGGAAAATATTGGTTCGCGTGTCCTCTGCGCGTCGTTTCGAGGTAGGGTAGCGCCTTGGATGGGGGGGGGCGGGCTTGCGGGCTTTTGGGCTCTGGTGACTTCGGTCGGCGGTCGGGGGGCGGGACTTGAAACAGCTTTAACTTACCGGTAAGTTACCGTACGCCATTCTCGTGCCCCATCGGATGCCCACCACAGTTGCACAGACAACTACTTCCACAATCGGGCATGTTCGCCGTCATTGCTCAGGATCAGGATAGACAGTACCGGTACTACTCTACTGCCAGCATGCCAAAGGTAGGTACAGCTATTTTCCCTGCTTTCTTGTCTGCCCTGCTTCTTGCTCACACCATGGACTCGGCGCACGCAAGCCGCGCAGCTGAACTTTGCCCACCAGGTCACGGCAATCTAATCTCGGCGCCGTCGCTGTCCTGTCCGCTTGGGAGATGGGAAGCTGGAGGCCGCAGATTCTCCGCCAGTCGACATTCGCTTGCCGTCAACCGTATAGGTAGACGGTCCGCTTCAAAGCTCTTTCGTACAAGTTGGTTTCTCCATTGGGAGCCACCATCGCATCTGTAAGGTCAGCCGAACACCGGTACTTCAGCTGGGGGAGGGGGGGGGCACCATTCTTTGGGATCTGTACATACTATGTATGTACACGCCATCCCTATGATCGACATGGCAGCTGTCCAACTTGTCATGCTTATTCGACGTTGACTCCATCAAAACGCAACGCAGTCCCCCCGCCCATTGCTTCTTCGCTCAACGGGAGACGATGAGCGGGTGCTCATCCGCGTAAGCCAGACTCCTGGGAACTGTACCTGTAGCGAGGACTACTCACAACTTAATTCTCATTCGAGTCAAGACGGTTACAGAACTGGCTAGTGGACCACGCGATACCCCAGAATCTTTGTTCAGATGCCGGACGACAGTCCTGTTGTTGTGTGACAACGCCGGGAGGCGTAGCGAGCAGTGGGGCCGGTTTGTTCCACCAATTCCTTCTGAGGGACATCTCATTTCATCCCATGGTCACCCCTGGGTCTGGATCGGACTGCGTTGCCTTCCTGATTCGAAAGCATGCGCTGGGTACGGGGATTGAGAAATCCCCTCCGATCCATGCGGGGGACTGTGCGGAAGAATTGAATGCCTGGTTATTGTTTCTTCCCTCCCACGTGCTGGGTTTACGTATGTCACTGTCCATCCTTTTTCGTTCTCACTCTTCACCTTCTTCCCTTGATGCGCATGCAGCTGTAGGGCCGCGAAGCGTGTTGATCACGTAGGTCGTTTGAATCAAAATATACACGGTGGCATGTGCCTCACTTCCATTCCCTTCCCCATTTCTTTTACTCTGCAAACCTCGACACCTGGCCCAAAGCATGCTAAGATGATCTTCCCACGCGAGGACGACGACAAACCGATACCCAACTACGTCGACCCCACCGTTCGACTCAACATTGGCATCTGGACACTCTTCGCTGGTGCCACCGTCTTTCTCGCGCTGCGCATCTGGATCAAGATCACTCGTCGCCATGGCCTCTGGTGGGATGATCGTATTCTGCTCATATCATGGGTGAGTCAGGCCTTTATCCAAGTCTCTGTGAATCGAGCATCAGCTGAGAAGCCATCAAAGGTCATTCTCTTTGCCAACGACATCATCATTTCAATAGAGTATGCGACAGGTTACGTCCAACACAAGTGGAACGACCGCATGCATATCCTCATCTCCATCTCTTCGTGTGGAACACTCATCGGACAGGCTCTCACCAAGACAGCCTTTGCCGTTACCCTCCTCAAACTTACAAAGAATTGGCTCAAATGGATCCTATGGTACATCATCATTTCCATGAACGCTTACATGATCGCCAAGGTGATTCTTCAGTGGGCGAAGGTCTGTGGGAACTCGTCATATGACGTCCATTATCGTCTTGATTTTTGCCTCGATTCCAAATTCAGAGAAGACTTCAAAGAGGGTGGCAACGGTACGGATGATCATATGTCGAGGATTCTAGTTTCTTTGACTGACCTCTCCTCTAGTATACAATGTTATCATGGATTTCATCCTCGCCACCTTCCCGTGGATCATCACCTGGAAGCTAGACATGCGCAGAGTGGAGAAGATCGGCCTATGCGTAGCCATGAGTCTTGTACGTCTCATTCAATTTGAGTGCCCCGTGACCATACCACTAACTGTCCACCAAGGGCATGGTCGTCGCCATTGTCGCAGCCGTCCGGATAGGCTGGAAAGATGAGGGGAACCCAAAAGACGAATGGTACTTTTGGCGCAACGCCCACTCCAACATCTGGTACTCATCCGAAGTCGTGGGCACCATCATCGTCCAATGTATCCCCGTATTACGACCTTTACTCCGCGACATTCACACATCCTTGACCTCGCGCCGATTGGGTTCAACGGTGAACCACACCGCTCGCCAAAGCAAGTGCGTTCACATCTATCCCGGCTGAAGTGTCGGAACCATTGGCTAACCGCGTAACAGGATGCCCGCCTTCGGCCCAACGATCGGCAGCAAGCCGTCACATCGCGCGCACATTTACTCAGATGCAGCAGAAGAGTTCTCAGACACCAAGAGCGACCCGTCATCCGATTCCTGGGATAACCAGGGCATCTATCACAGAAGGGACTTTGAGATGACGAGTATTGAAATCACGTCCCCTCAAGATAGACATACGAGAGACGATTTTCTTCCCTAGCTGTCATGAATCTCTCTTTGTCACTGTAACAATGAAAAAAATAATCACTTTTCCGAATATTCACATTCTTCCATGCGCTAAATTGCAGTGTGTGTAATGTGCGCCACCTTTCCGGCGCCTCGTGAACACTCTACCATATAGACGGCCTGAAATCTTCCGAACGTACAAGTCTTGTGAAGACGGTACCTAAACAGTGCCTAGTCCCTAACCACAGCTGGAAACGATCCGCTCCATCCAACCCCACCCCCAGAAAAACAATCCCACCAGCAAACCCCGACTCCACGAAACACAAAAAGCACAGAAAGTAACAACAACAACAGCAGCAACAGCAGTAGCACACATACATGTATCCCTCTGCCATACCCGTCCGCATCAATAAATAAAAAACCCACAGCCAACGCCCCCGAGCCCGTTGCAGGATTTTATGAAACCACGTGGCATCCCGGTTCGATGCATAATGTTCCTCAGATCGGTTTCGCAGATCAGGCAGCGATAGGACCCGGCCTTACAACGCCACATACTGCTTCAACGGGCGCGTGCGTTTTCCTTCCGTGGTGCGAGCGTTTATGCGTTTGTGCGGCCGGGAAGGGGGGTTGTGCGTGTGCTTTTAGGCGTGTTTTGTGGGGATGTGGGGGAGGGGTACCGATACCGTAGAGGTACCCATTGTTGTGAGGAATACGTGTGACTGTCTGCGTTGCGTGTTTGTGAGGGACGGGATATAGGGGGGGGGGGGGTTTGCATGTGTGGATCTTCTTTTTTTTTGTGCTGTTGATGGTTATCATGTGGTGTGATCCGTATGCTTGTGTAAGCAGGATTCTTTTCGTCTTCTGCATCGAAGACTAGCAGTGTCGGTGCACAACATCATCCTTCTTCCCTTTCTTTACCGAAGATTCACTTGACACTTCGTACCAGCTCGCGCAAATCCCCACCCTCCACCCATTTCTCTTCCCCCCCGCCTGCCATGCTCAATCCCCCTCCACCAGATCCCCCTGCACTAACGCCCCAGCCTTCTCCAACTTCGCCTACAACTCTTGCAGGCTGGCCGGCGACCACGGATCCCGACGCAATCACCATGTTTGCCGGTACCACCGTGTTGGGCAGGATCTTGACGTTCTCCTTGATAATGGCAAACGGGCTGATGATGACCTTTTCACCGATGTGGACATGTGATGAGATGTTGATGGCTTGTATCGTGCAATTTGGTCCTGTTATTGAATACGCTTAGCATAATGTAGACGACGCCAGACATGGTCAGACTTACCAACAAAGACATTATCCCCAATCTTCATTGGATAGTAATGTACTTGACCTCTACTTATTCGACTTGGCGGCTTGATCACACTTCCCGTCGAAATTACCGTACATCGTCCAATGCTGATACTGGTGGGTGTGACCTCTTTGCCGCTTTGCGATGGCGCACTTCGCGTCGGATGTAAGTCGCCTCGTAACTGCACATCGGCCATTATGACGGTACGTCCGCCCAGCGTGATATTCGCTGTGCCGGTGATGGCTGACCGCCGGGACACTTTGTTACCAGAATCCTGTAAACCTATCAGAGGAGAGAAAGGGAAGCACATGAAGTAGTTATGAATCGCTTGTGGGTTAGATTCGGAAGAGAACATGCACGGTCGGTATAGGTGTGGAATGGGAATGGTCTTCGAGATCAGAGTAATGGCACAAACTCACCGTCTCAATGTACTCCCCTTTAGGCGCGACTTTGCGCGCTGCTGGCCGTGACATGTTGTTTCACCATGTAGAAAAGGGTCTTTGGATATGTACAGCAGTGATGGAGTTCTCCTTTGCGTACCGAAAACAGATAGTTGGTGTTCCGTATTGAGTGTATGTACCATGTAGCGACCGAAGGACGTGAAGGCACGTTATTGGACAGGGTCCACACACACGGCTCTAACTGAATTGGGCATGGACCCTGCTGTTCGTCTTTCTGTTCAGTGCTCACCTCATCACCATACTTCTTGACCTTATGACCGACTCTATACGGTTGATCTGATAGAGGATCTCTACATCTGCAGCATCATTCTTCTCGAAAACTCACTTGCGTTCCCCCATCGGCATTGCCCTGTGATTTATCAGAGTAAGGATCGTCCACCTAGTATTGTAGCAGCTCATACGGTAACCTTTGCCAGTAGCTGTCTGATTCTTCCCAACAGAGTGTACCATCTCAATTCAAAGAAACCCTCTCAAAGAAAGCCAAAAGATCAAAACCAACCATCCGCATCTTCCCATCTTCCACAAACCATCATGTCCTGTTCGTGCATCTCCACCATCACCACCATCAAAGAAATCGCACCAATAATACACATCCTATCCCAAATTCCCCCATCACAAGCCCACACACCATCCGTTCACACTACCCCACACCACGCTAACGCACTTTCTCCACACAAACCCTCTCCCATCGCTGCATCAATCTCACGCCCCCCTTGCCAGCCTTGCACTCGCTATGCACATGCTACTGAGTGAGCGACATCCCAGCCCGCCCTAACCCCAACCCACGCTATACCGCCGTCCGCCCTACCAATACCATAGCCCAAGCACACCGGGCGTACTTCTACGCCCGACAAAAACATCGCTACTCCGAAAGACTTCGGGAAAAAGTTGTGCGTGAGGTCCACGAGTATAATGGCGTGGTTTGCTGCCCATGCGTAGTGTAGCCGAGATATTGCAACATGTGTTGGCGCTGGGCTCTTGTTGCGCGGATCTAGGGAAAATGGCTGTGCGAGCGTGTGGGTGAATGGGTTGTATTGTCAGTTTCCGCTAATAGGCGCTGGAGATGGTATCATGGTAGGGTGGTTCCGTGGGACTTCACTATCGAGAAGGAGTCGGATTCAGGCATGTCCAGGAGGGCCAAAGATGTGCGTAATTAATCCGGTGTACTTGGTGGACATGTCAGATTAGACTGTAGTTAGATATAGAGAGGTGCGTGATACAAATACTGTAGCCACTGTCCCTACGGGCTGAAACATAGTCAAAGCAAGACTCTTGGAAACATTGTGTATTGGGATCATATAAGCTACGTACATACCTCCCCCTCTCCCTGAAGAGAAACCCGCCACGCCCAAACAACCACGTTTTTCCCTCCAATATCCATACATCCACACACAACCCCCTCCCCCCAAAAAAGCACCCATCATACCCCAACCCCAACCCTCCAAACCAGAAAAAAAAAGAAAGGATCAAAAAGAACCAAAACGCCTGCCTCTCCCTTCCCACCCCGGACCCGAAAACACAGACTCCCAAGGCGGAGAGCAGAATCCCAGTGTATAGCTCTATACGCTTGCATCCCACCAAGCTCCCCTGCTGCGGAATCCCGGGTTTTTCTTGGATTGCTTGGTGGGAGCTGGTTGGGTGTGTGGGCATACCAGTGGGAGCGAGGCGGAATTATTATGTAGAGATATATGTGTGACGTCAATCCATGCCATCCATACCAAGTTTGATTCACGTTGGGCAAGATCATTCATCCGCGACAAAGCAGGCACGGCCGGGAAGTTTTGCAGAGACCTATGGCCGTAGCAAAGAGTCCAACTCTCATGAGCCTTGGGAGAGCGGGAGACGACACAAGAAGCAAATACAACACTTGCAAAGCTGCAACAAACGATTCCATTCAGTCGTCATCGGAGCGAGAAAATATATATATATATATCGTGAGAACAAAAAGGTAGACTTTTGTTGCCCAATGCTTCCTCCACCCCGGGTGTCAAGTTCTGGATGTGGTTGCCTGCCGTACGTGAAAAAAGGGGATCAAAGCCAGAGTACCTTGCGCTGAGGACGCGGCTTTGCAGATGACCACATTTCAAAAGGGAAAAAACACCGTTGATACGAAACCGCTGAGCGGCAGGTGAAAAGAAGAGTACCGAGAAAAAAGAAGCCTTTGAAACCCCCCCCCCGGGAACGCCGAAATCGATGAGAGCCTGTGGACCGAGGGCTTGAATAGCAAAATAGTAGAGGCAACATCGAGAGTGGCGTGTGCTGAAAGTCCCATGCTCACATGTGTTATTGGACGGTTTTACTGCTACACAACAGGTGTATTTCCAGAATTTCGCCAGCACAGCAGCTATCAGACAAAGGCAACGTAGTCGTAAAGAATCCTCTGAAGATCAAAGACCTTGACCTGGATCCTGAAATCCAGATCCTGAGAAGACATTGCATTCGTAACAGAATCATCTCGGCGTTGGACGGCGTTGCATACTGCCCGATATGCGTCGTAAAACCAAGAGAAGGCTGGTCGTTGCATGTGCCCTGCCTGCCTATGTGTCGAAAATTGTACAAGATCGAAGAGAATGTATTTACGAAGAGAGGACAGAGTTCTCGGCACGCTGGTTGAGAAAATTGGCGTGTGATTCAAGGGCACGTGCTTGAACATGCGTGACTATTCGGATGTTAGCACGATGCTTAATTCAAAAGCAAAAAGATCAAGCTTACCTGGCCAGACAGCAGCCTTGGACAGCATGTAGGCTGTCACAATAAGCAGCTTTGTGCCATAACCACAATGGCCAAGATTAGAGAGACCACCGAGCATAGGTAGCGAGCTCGAAGAGATGTCGTATGCCAACTTCATGTCAGCATGGAGGAGAATATCCGAAACCTTTTGTAGGAGTTTTACGTCCTCCTCTTCCAGGAGCATTATCGCAGGAACAGCATGATAGTCAATCTCATCCTTGCCGAGTATACCCAGGAAACGACCCACTCGATCTTGAACGGTTGCAACCCATTCCGCCAGCACTTGCGCGCAATCAAACGTACACAAAGCTGATGAGTTGGGTAATTCCCTTGCAGTAAAGTCGGCATAGGTAGCCCCCAACTTGTCTGCCATGGATAACGAGTCGGCAGCATAAAACGCAGCTTTGCGCAAGTGCTTTTCGCGTTTTGTGGCATGACTGGATTGGAAATTGGCACTGGTCTGGCCAGGGCTGAGATGGTTCGTGGGGTCAATGTCAAGCTGTCCGAGCTGTCCCGGTGACACTGACTTGGTCTCTGCAGATGAAGACCTCTCAGGCGTTCCGTCAGCTTGACCCACAATATCGACGCCTCTAGCCAATTCGTTGGCCATGCCATCGAAATCCCGTTGCCATAGAAGCTCCTTCGCTCGGCCAAGATTTACAAAAAGTCTAACGTAAGCTAGGTCGAGCAGTGGTATGCAGTCGGCAGACAAGGGACCAAATGGACTGGGTCGTTCCAGACTATGGTTTGGATTAGCCCGCCAAGCAGCCTGCCAGGCTTTGAGAGCAGGCTCGACTTGGGCGTGCATAGCTTCAGTTTCTTGTGCCTTCCACAAGCGCCCAGTATGTCTCTGTCTGGTCTCCCAGATATAGACGTGTAACGCGTTGATCAGAACATAGCATCCAAACGTGCTGGGGCGTATATCGCTTCCGGCACTCTCATTAAGGGGCTGATTGCCCCCAAATGCCTGTACGTAGGAGCCGTGCATGCGTGCGCCAGACTGTCTTGTGCTCGCCTCGAGAAGATAGGTCATGGCGGCATTGAAGGACAACCCTCTGGTCTGCGCAATCATTGGGCCACCCATAGCCATCCACGCTTGTGGGTTATCAGCAGACCAGAGATCTTCTTCGCAGGGAAGATCAAGGCGAATTTCCGAATTCAGAATGCGAGGAGCATGTGCATATGCAGACACAAGTAAGCTCGACATGGAGAACACGGCGAAGTAGGTTCGCTTGCGCTCCTCAATCTTTTTCCATTGAATCCATTGGCTATGCTCGTCCACGCTGTCGCTTTGCGGATCTTGGCAGGTGCCTGGCTCGTCGACCATAGGTACATCGTCACTAGTCGCATGGCTGAGTGGGCTATGGGCCATGGACTCTGGAGTAGCCGGCTTGTCCAGCGCGGCTGCTCGGGCAAGACTCACGAGTGCTGCGCAATGTGTGCTGGCAACCTCAGCCGCTTGCCGATCACCGCAATTGTGCCCGAAAATCAGATTGAGTAACATGGCTTGGACCAGCCAGAGAGGAGGTTTATTGGCCGAGTCGTTTGTGGTGTTGGGGCCGTTGACTGCAGCAGAAAGTCCAGCCCTGCGTCGTTCGTCCAGATAGAAGAGGATCAACTTCTTTGCCGCTTCGAACAACTCCTTGGCCACATTGTGCTCAAACTCATAAAGAGCACCGATGGCTGCCATGGCAAGTATCAGACAGCCGCCGCCACCCACCATGCCATCATGGTTGAGGTTGCCGGCAGTACGAAGATGGTATGTGTAGGCTGGAGTGTCGAAAGACAATGTAGGAATATGCAAAAAGGGAAGGTGAGGATGGAAGTACTGAATGTAGGCATTCACATAGCGTTGTATGTCCATGGTACTCGGAAGTGTGGCCGCTGAGCCAAGGTTCTTCACTGCTCCTGACATGGAGAGCGGTGAGCTAACCTGTGGCTGTGAGAATTTCCGTTGGGAATGGCCCAATCCCATAGCCTGCGATAAGTTATAGATGAGGGCCTGTCTTGTGGACTCTGTTATTGACTCTGTCGACACCGATGTCACAGAGCTGTGCCTGGCGCTTCCGTTGATCGAAGAGGAGGAGATGCTTCCAGTGTCTGAATTGAAGGTCATGGGGGCGGCCTGAAAGTACTGATTTGGCATGCCAGGAATGCCTGCTGAAGGGCTCATGCCCGATAGTGGAGGAGGCGAATTGATGAAAAAGTCGTTTTGGACACCATGATCGCCAAGGTCCTGTGGTGTAAGAGAAGTCATCATCAGTTCAGGAAATACTGGAGCCATGGTATCAAGCGTATATGCTGTTGTGTTCATGTTGGTATGAGTAGCCAAAGGATTATGCCACATGGCTGAAGACGTGGGCTGCCCTGATCCATCTAGCATCACTTCGTTGAATCCGCCCTGGCTGGCAGTACTAATGGCCGAAGGTGACGACCCATCTACAGCTGACTCATTTGCCCCAGGGAACATCATTGAGCTATCCAGACCAGCACTCCAAGCAAAGTCATCTTCCTCGATCGGATTGTTCCCCGCAAAAGGATTGGCAAACTGTCTAAAAGGCGATTGCGGATTGACAATGGCGCCCGTAAAATGATGCAGCTGGTTAGGGTTGATTGTTGAACCCGACGAGGCTCCGAAGAATTTCTCCAGTTCCAAATCATCCGAGCCGACCCCGTGGATGGGTGCTGTACGTAGGCCACCACCACCGAGACCCAAACCGAGATGCGTGTCCAACCGGGGGAGGCCGTGCTGGCCATGATTACCCATAGCAGTTGACATGCCCCTGTAGTCGAATTGATTTGAACCACCTATACCCGAAAGACTGGCATGATGCGAGTGGCCTTGATGTCCTATGGGGCCCCGACCTAATGATACGCTGTGCGTAGCCAGGAAGCTGTTCAGCGCACTCGGATCGATGTGGCTGATGGTGTTTGCTCGCGGTCGCATGTTTGGGTTGCCCACATTGCTCGAAACGGAATTCTTACGGACGCGTCCCGAGGGATTTGGTGGTAGGCCGGTCGTGCTTTCTCTACGGGCATTGCGGGGACGGGTTGTTGTTGCGCCTTGCTGGTGTAGTTTCTGTTGATGGCGCAGTAAGAGATCGCGCCGTGCAAAACATCTGGTGCATTGCGGACACTCGAATGGCTTCTCCTTGGTATGCGAGCGTTCATGACGCTTCAGGTGTTCTAATCGGGCGAAGGATCGTGTACAGGTTGCGCAGACATGCGGCCGCGGCTTGTCGGTCTTTGGTGGGGGAAAGGCTGGGGCGGCTGGGGCGGGTGGTGATGTCTCGACCTTTGTGGCCGTCTGGATTGATGCTACCATTGGCATCCGTGGTCAGTCCAGTGCGAGTGGGTCGCAAGGGGTTGCAGTTACTTACTGTTGCTGCTGGCACCTGAGACGCTCGATTCGTCGCTGGGCGTGCCTACCGCGCCTGCGAGGCTCGTGCTCTCTGGTTGAGCCATGAGGAAGCTGGTACGCCGTCAGCTTGGGGCTAAGGATATGCATATTCTCAAAGGCAT